GTTTGCTTTTCAGCCAAATATAATAATAATAATGAAAAGCTGAGAGCGAAAAAAGTTATTTACTTTTGTTTGCTGTCGACGTCTGTTATAAACAGATTTAATGTCAAGATTTGTCTTCATCTGTAAAATTCATGCTTTAATTCCTTAATAGCCCTCCAATTGGCTAAAAAACGCCCAGTTTTTCAATTTCCAAACTCAGCTCCACTGCAAACAATAAAAAACAAATAATTACTTATAAATCAAAATATCGTTTTGTAAATACTTAGCGATAAGTCCTTTTTGTTGGGAATTTCCAATTGGATTGTTTGCAGTGATTATGATTGGATTTAGGGGAACAACATATCTTAGGTTTAGACATCAAATTTGTTGCTAAAATGTGTTCAATACTTTATAAAAATGACATAATATTGATCGATAGAGAAAGTTTTGTATTTCAATATTTTTAAAGCCTTTCCATGAACTAGAAATTGAATTTTCATTTTCCGATGCATTTATTTGTCGACGATTTCAAAGCCGACTGTTTTTTATTGTTATGTATTATAAAAACATACAATAAAAAGTAATTTTCACTTTTATTTTATGCTTATTTTATACACTTTAATTGCGAGAATTTTATTGTTTAAGTCATTAAACTTTTTAAAGTGAATCCGAAAATTCATTGTTTTCGTGATTTTTCTATTGTAAAAAATCTTTACATTACTCTCTGTATCATTAGTCTCGCAATTCAGTGACTCTTCCCTTGAATTATATAACAGTTTAAAAGTAATAAATGTGTGCTTATTATGAAAAACTGTTGGGATTTGTATTTTTCTTGAAAAAGACTTTTTTACTGAACTTTATACAGTATAACGTCTAAAAACTTATTTTTATTATTATTATAGCAGCTCTTCAATAGCAAAATATCTCATTATATTTGGCTTTTATTGAAATGTAATTTACTTAAGCGAGAATTGGATTGACTTTTATTGCTTGATGTTATAAATAGAGAAATCGTAAATGAAATCCTTTGCCTTGATGTCAAATCTCCATTTGAGTTATTATAATGCAATCGCTGGTACTCTTAATCTGTAAGTCACTTACAGTTGCATTTATCTGTCTTTTGTGGACATCTAATAAAGAGATTTCATGTCAAACTACTGTATTTAATATACAGTTCCCATTAATGCAATTCTACTATATTTATCTTACAAGACATGCAATTAGTAAATCAAATAATTCATATAATATGGTATTAACTTAGAATTACATTTGAAATTAAAATCACTATTTGACGCAATGCTAAGTAAATGAGTTTGTGGTCTAAAAAGCATTTTTATGACGAATTGCTATTATTGTTGATATTATCTGTTGTCGATATTGAGAGATGTTTGAAGCAAATGCTGATTACATGTTGTGTTCAGTGCATCACTTGTTGACCGAATGCCGCCAACCAGTGCTTCGTGTCTCTCATCCCTAATAATAATGCCTTTCCTATGACTGACCCTCTCTTTTGAGTATTGCTTATCATTTTGTAAAAGTTTTCTCTTTCTTTAAGACATATTTTCAAAACTATTTCTAACCACTGCTTTGTTGGCAGATATTTATCGGTAGATCGCGTTTTTATACACCTCTTTAGTGTGCCTTTTGTGTAGTTTTGATGCTCTCTCTCTCTCTCTCTCTCTCTCACCTTTAATTCCTTAATGCATTCAAAGCATCCATACATTCATAAGACTGGTTAGCATATTACGAGCGAACGGAACAGTTGTTGAAATACACTTCTCCAGTGATTATGTCATTATAACAAACTTTAATTCAATTCCCGTTTAATCATTACTTCTTATACAACAATATTATATATAAAAAGGCATTATTTTTCTGCACAGTTAGCACTTCCAGGTTTGAACCGCTATTTAATTTTGACTCTTATTTTTGCTACAGATTAAGATCGATTTGAAAACATATTTTATATCATAACTAAAATGTGATATTATTTTGCGATAAAACAGTTTTTCATTCTTACGAAAGGCTATTATAAATTACTCGTTAGGGTCAGCACAACCTAACAGTAATACTCTACTAGTTGTAGGTCTCCATCCCCACTACGAAAGCGTAATCTTTTAAAAATTATAAATTTTTTCAGTAAAAAGATATTTCTTTTATTCAGGTTTTATCTGTGTTTTCATAGAAAGAGCTATAATTTGAAGTGAAAATCAAAGCGAAATTATATTTATAAAATAACTCCCGAAGCAATCTTTGGTAACAATTTTATTACAGCCGACACTCGTATGCATTGCACTCAGAATTTTGATTAGATTAGTGTACAAACCATTTCTCCACTATTTATACCATAAATGCCTGAAAGCAGTAAATTTTGATCAATCATTCGCTTAACTAATATTATTAATAACTAACAGATTTTTTACTAAACTTCAGGTAATAATCGATAGGACAGACAGACTTTCAATTTATTCTCTCGTGTTTTTTATAGAAAATAATTTAATTTTAATGAAATTTTGCTCGTTTATTATGTGTATGATAAATTTTCATATTAATTTGTATTTTGATATTAATTTTAGACCTAATTATACTCTAAACTAATACATTAGAGTGTATTAAGTTGAAGACCATAAATGTTGCTATTTATTAATAATAAACTATGCGATAAGGGAGTACAATATTTGATGCATATATTGTACATATACTGTATGTCTTGACTCATGTCTCCATATTTATCTTTCACTGCGATCTCTCACTAAGGGATGCATTATTACTCCAATCAATACTCAGACGGATTGACTAAACTATAAATATATTTTAATATCACTGTTCAGACTGTGAGTGTAATCGAGAGAATAACTCGAGAGATGATAATAGTTAGGATGAGAGCTGTGGGGATGAGTTGATGTGTTGTCATGTGGATGGCCTCACCTCCCACGACGACTATTGGTACAGAAGTTTGATTACTAGAAATTATAAGCAAATGTAACACAAGAACAATACCAATAGATTATACTTATGTTGTGTTATAACATGTTTTATACAAACATAAATACATATTTGAGTCTTATTTGTGATGTAAGCAATGCTATACTTATGGGGAAAATAAGCCCAGAATCGAGGGGTCAATGCTTTATCATTATTAGAGAATATGATTGTATAAAAAGCATATAATATTTGTACGAATAGTATATGAGTTGTACGTATAGTTCACGAGAAAAGTGAGCGTATATTTAGGCGGAACTGAATATCGATGTCATCTCTGAATTTCATGTCTCACTGGATTTCTAGCCGAAGAATATGCATAAGAAATGGTCGATTCAGTGATAGTTAGGGGCAAAAATACACTACTCTTACTCGACTTTACCGGTTGTGTTGGAGCGGAACTGGTGCTCATAAGACCGTAGAGTAATATAGAGGACGAGCACATCGATGCACTCAATGCTTGCCATCATTTACTTAAATAATACACTTTCTATTAGATTCTGACGACTATTTTACACGAAAAAAAGGATTTTCCCGTCAAATGTTTAGCTAAAATAAGGAGAGCCTCTGTCTGTGTGTATGAATTGCTTCATTTGCTTCAAATCATTAATTAATGAGTGGGCAGTCATTCAGAATTAGTTGTGACAATAACTTTAATGTCTTTAAAACTCTCTCGATATTTATAATAGTTTTTCTTGTCTTACGTTAAGGTTGTCTAACATTTAAAATTGTTACGCCCTTTGAATTTGCTTCAAATCGCCAGTTCTTGTGCCCATACATTGAGATCGATTGCAAATTTATTGCACAAATGTTCTTGACTCTACTTCAAATAAATCTAATGTTAGGGCAGACCATAGAAAACATTATTTAATTTCATGTCAAAAAGTCTTCTTTCGTTAATTTTCTTTTAATTTTAGCCCAAAAAGTCATTATTCATAATAGACTCGAGACTCTCCATAATAAATGCATTGATTATGGATTTCTAATTAGAGTTTTTATGGTGCAAATATTTATTATATTTTGATTAAGTTTTTTTCGCAATTTCTTCATTATATTCTTGATGGCAATAATGGCTGAGGTTTTCCAAAAGCGTTTTACTATTAGTCGCGTATAAGAAATAAATAATTTGTTCACAAAAAACACATTTCCGTTTTGAATGCACACTAATGACTGCAAAAGTATTAATAATTGCTTTCGAATAAAAGTGCACTAAAAAAGTGTATTTTGCAGTCAATGTATGGGAATATTTAAGTGTGGAGTTAGTGTTTGCCGCACTTGACCGCCGCTCCACAACTTATATGAGATATGGTTTGTCACGGATTGCCGATCGGACTGATTGTCATCAATGTTTAAGTTAGTCTTCCCTCGCAATACACTCCGATATATATTCAAAATCTTTCGTTTGTATCTCATTTACTGCAAGAATATTCTCTCCATTCATAAAAAATTATATTATTGAAAATAAAAGCCATATTTTTTCTATGACTCCATTTGGATGCGGTTTTATTTGTTATATTCAATTGCATTCATTATTTTCTTAACTAAACATTTTCGTTCAAATTGACAAACTTTTCAAAATATTCATTCAATTCATATTTCTTAATGACTTTCTCTCAAACCCTATGCTTTTTAAACACAATAAACTATTTTACGGCATACAGTTTTATACAAGTTTTGTCACTTTTCTATCTGTTTTGTTAATACAAATTATGTGGAAATTTTTTTTTGAAAATCTTATTAAAGGCTCAGTTGGATGAGCCGATTGGCAGAGGATTCACGCTATGAATTATTAAACTATGAAAAATGTTTTTAAATAATAAGCACTCTTACCATTGAAGAAAAATATATTATTGTTATTTAAATCAAATATTTATGAAAAGAACTCAATTTATAATACAATATATCATACGATAGAAAAAGTATAGTCAATACAATCACCTATCATAACAAATTCGTTTTTAATGTACGGTTCGGTATTAACCGGCTATCGATGAAGCATTACATTCATGCGATAATGTACTAGAGTTTCATTGCTGTTAATGAATGCACTGTTTTGCACAAAACACGACGAACTGCACCGTATGTTATAAACGGATGCCAACGTATAATTAAAATACGAAAAATACATATATTTCTAATGAAATGTGAATAAATTAAATATCATTACTTTGCCATTGCAGATGTACCTGATCCTCCTGGAAAGCCACTATTAATGGGCTTTACATCACGCTCTGTAAACCTTTCGTGGGCCCCGAGCTTTGACACTCACCACTCGCCGGTTCTTAACTATATTATCCATACCCGGTATGTCTGTCCTCTAATATATCTATTATCATATTTGATTGATTGCCCAGAATTGTGATATTTTCTTTTGAAAAGTTATAAATTACAAACTTTTTACTTAATATCAATTTTATGATAGATTTTTAAATTAAATATGAATTTCGTTTTGTTTGGCGAACAGAGTGGGAGAAAACGGTGAATGGGATTCATATAATGGGTTCGCGACTCTCGATAACAAGACCAACCATTATGTCGACAAATTACAGCCCTTTACTGTCTACTCGTTTCGTGTGCTGGCTGTTAATGCCATTGGCACGAGTCAGCCGGGAAAGGAGTCCTACTATATGGTCACTCTTAGAGAAGGTATTTATTTCTATGACTTCTTTTCAAATACAGTTTTATTTGATTCATATAAAAAACTTTTGTCAACTAAAACATTGAATACCTATTCCATAACTACAATGGAACTGGAATTTACTAATAATTTTATGCAAATAATTATTTCTAAAATATGATTTATTTCAACGTCTTTTTAGCAAACAGTGATATTGTCTTTGTTTTGTCAAAATTTCGGTTGAATTTTCATTCAAATTAAATGGTAAACTGTTTTTTCCTTAAGAAAGGGAATCGTTGTAATGATTGCCTGTTCTCTACCGGATTCGCAAATGCCTGGCGGCTAAAGACAGTTGAGATTTGAATATATCTATCGTATATGATATTCATTTCCATACATTGATAACTCGTATAATTGCGGAGTAGACTGCAAGTAGGAAAGCCTCTGGACATTAAGTAATTGTTAGCCACCCTCTCCTCCCCTCCCTCTTACTCTACTCCACTTCTGTACAGTACTAACCCTTATGTATGTCTATTGCGATGACATTTATGACTCTATGGTGCGTTTGAGGCGCGATTCCGGTGCTCTTCATAATTATTATAAATGTTTGAAATATTCACCTAATTTTGTTTTTGCTCATCATTTGCGCCCCAATACTACCGGTGCTGTTAAAAACGGAAATTATTAACTTTTACCACTACGGGCGGCAAACTTATGGTATATATGTCTTAAGTATTGCACACATTATTTGGCTGTTTATGAGCGTTGCGGCTGTCATTGGGAAGGGTCTGTTGGGTCTGTTGGGTCTGAGGGGTAAACCAATGAATAAATAATTATTCATTAAAACAAAGACTATTTAAAATCGCATCAATATTTCTAAGCCGTCGACTCATTTAATTATCGCTAATATCTGTATCACTTGAGCCCTCGCTTTCAATATCATAAAAGTTTACAAACTTTTCGATTCTTTTGTTTCTAATAATTCTTCGCTTTCTATAGACAATAGACACGACATGCGAGACAAAAGCAATCATATTATAGTTCATTATAAATCATATTATTATTGCTGTTGTATTCAATGAATAATTAAAAGAAAAAAGTTTTTTATGACAAAAGAATATATGAAAACTAATTGAACATAAATGTCAACTAATGTTATATAATAAGATCATGTATGGTATTCATGAATGTATGATTTTTTTTGTGATACAGTTCCTGATGGCAAGCCGACAGTGATATCTGCAGGCAATATAAGCAGTTGGGCCATACGTGTGGAGTGGAGTCCCCCAAACAGGAACACAATTCATGGAGAGTTTCTCGGCTATCGAATCAAATATCGAAAACATGGCCCAACACTAGGCATTGAAAGGGAAATAACGCTCAGAGACCCCGACTTACGAGTGAGTAGTAGTGCTCCACAACACAGCCTTTTAAATGGCAAACAGATTGCCATACAATTGCATGCATGGAAATAGCCATTCAATACATGCACTGAAATGCTCGCATAGATACCTCACAATACTTGCACTGAAATGCTCGCACAGATACCTCACAATACTTAGCCCATACACAAAGAAATGTCTGCTGTCTTCAGATGTGTCCTAATATATTGTCTCATTTGTCTGATCCAGTCGTACACCTTAAGACAGTTGGAGCCGTTCACGGAGTACATGATATCACTGCAGGTGTTCAACCCGGCCGGTGAGGGTCCCGCCACTGCCATCACCGCCACCACCGATGAAGGAAGTGAGTCCACCACCGCTTATGTCACCATTTATTTCAATTACATCATCACTTTGTCTATTGTCCGGCTAATGAGATCTCAAATAATGCTTATGTTTCACACAATTATCTTAATTTTTATGATGTATTAAATGTTTTGTATGTATTATATGCTCAAAGTAATAGTGAGCCGTACATATAAGCCATACAGTAGTTCCTTATGAATGATAATTACAACAAAAACTTTTTTGTTTCACACAATTATTATTTCGCTAAATACACTCATTTATGGCTAAAATTAGAGGCAAATGAATCGCAAGTTTTTTTTGTATTTTAGATTAGAGAGACAAATGAGATTAATATACGGTTTGAATGCAATCGATATAATAATTAGTCTTAAATAGTCGCTATAATTAATGCAATTGTTATGTGCAGTCATAAAGAGACAGGCTATTAGTATTGTATTTATAATTAATTATGAAAATGTTATAGGAATTATGTGTGAGATTTGTTTTTTATGAATTTATAGACAATATAATTAATATATTAATCTACAAAATGCAGTCTCGAGTCCACCGAGAAATGTATCACTGGTTCGGGTGACCAATACTATGGCCCGACTTCAATGGCTGGAACCCAAGTCACCCAACGGTCGACTCCAGGGCTATCGGATCTATGTCCTCAATATTGCCGCCAATCTGACTGAAGTGAAAAAAGTGATAAATCCTCAGCAATACTCTCTGGACTTCTCGATCAATAATCTGAGTATGAGTTTCATTACAATTAATATTCATTCCGGTGTTCAGAGTATTGTATTCAGTTATTCAGTATAATTGGCATATAGTTAGTCTCCAATCCCTGAA